TGAGTAGAATCCCGTCCAATGACCCCAAGCTGCCCATCCTTGTCGCTCGCGCGTAATTATGTTGCTGTCGCGCTCGCACACTCACTGCGGGCGCGCGTCGCACAGTCGCGACAGCAATATAATTACGCGCGAGCGATAAAGATGGGTAGCTTGGGGTCATTGGACAGGATTCTACGTGCTCACGGACCAGGCTTTAGCCATCGTCATCATGTCTTCTAGTCTCCACTGCAGGAACACAACCCTCGAGTTCACCATAGGCAAATGGAGAATTTGGTCTACGCTCCCCACGCTGACCCGTTGCTAGAGAGTTGGTAAAGTCACACAAAATTCAACTTTAGACACGCTTCCATGAAGCTGTGCCAGCCCGCCGTGTATTCACCAAAGGAAGATTTGGTCTAGATACTCTCCATGCCGGCCAGACGAAGTTGAGTTGGGAAGACCGTTTCAACTTCTCTTAAAATTATGGTTGTTGTCGGTGATATTCTTCAGTACCTACCCCGTCAATAATAATAACGATCTACGACAGTAAAACTTGGCATCGGAAACTGTTTTCGAAATTTTGTTCGAGGTTACGACCATTACGAATGCCATAACATGCTCTTGCCCACAATACATTGCCTGTGCTTGCAGTCGACGGAGCACAGTATGTCGTGCCCTGCGTGCCCAAACAACTGCACGCAGGAAGATTCAATGAAGGCTACTGACAACGCCACTCTGTGGCGGAGTTTTGGGCTGACGCTGTGTAGATTTGTTGTCGACACGACAAGAAGAAGAAGACTTGCTTATTTAAAAGATACCTTATTTCCTCCCTACAGCGCACCAGTCGGCGTGGCAGGCGTAGGCGTGGGCGGGCCGCTTCTCTACCGCGTGCGCGTCAGCGTCGGCGGCCGCGCCTGGCTCGGCGAAGGCGCCACACCACAAGCCGCGCGACATGACGCCGCAGCTCGAGCCTTACACGATCTGAGGCCCTCGCCTGGATCACAAGTCGCTGCTGCTACGGCGACACCCGGCGCTGCTGCTACGACCAACGGCACTGCTACGACAACTACAGCGCAGACTGAAGGAGAAAATGGTGAGTGAACTCGCCCTCGCCCGGCTCACAAGCACCCGCTACTACGACAACCGGTGCCGCTGCTACGACCAACGGCACTGCTACGACTACTACAGCGCAGACGGAAGGAGAAAATGGTGAGTGAACTCGCCCTCGCCCGGCTCACAAGCACCCGCTACTACGACAACCGGTGCCGCTGCTACGACCAACGGCACTGCTACGACTACTACAGCGCAGACGGAAGGAGAAAATGGTGAGTTGAACACTTTAGACGCTAGCTCTCTACGCATGTGCTATGATGCCGCCGCTTGAGCGTTACACAACCTGCGGCCCTCGCCCGGATCACAGGTGGCGGCTGCTACGGCGACACCCGGGGCTGCTGCTACGACCAACGGCACTGCTACAACTACTACAGCGCAGACGGAAGGAGAAAATGGTGAGTTAAGGAGACGCCCGCGGCTTGCACTATCTGCGGCCCTAGGTTTATAGGCAGCTGCTGCTACGGCTATACCCAGGGCTGTTGCTACGACCAACGGCACTGCTACGACTACAACAGCGCAGACGGAAGGAGAAAAAGGGTGAGTAAACACGTTAGAAGCTAGCCCTCTACGCACGCGCTACGACGCCACCGCCCGTGCTTTACATGACCTGCGGCCCTCGCCTGGATCACAGGCCGCTGCCGCTACGGCGACACCCGGGACCGCTGCTACGACCAACGGCACTGCTACGACTACTACAGCGCAGACGGAAGGAGAAAATGTTGAGTGAACACGCACGCGACTCGCAGTATTTACGGCCATCGCCTGGCTTTATAGGCCACTGTACGGCGACACCCGGCGCTGCTGCTACGACCAACGGCACTGCTACGACCACTACAGCGCAGACGGAAGGAGAAAATGGTGAGTGAACACGCTCTCGCCTGGATCACAAGCACCCGCTGCTACGAACGCCGGGACTTCTGCTACGCTACGACTACCAATGTACAGGAGAAAATCATTAGTTAAAATGCTCGGAATTTGGTAGATAGAGGCTAGCTCTCTGTGTACGCGCCATGACGCCGCCGGCTCGCACGCCTACGAACAACAGTGGTGCTACGATGACTATTTGGGCCTGTGTTGGCTGTAGCTAAGTAATACTGCACTGCTACGAATAATAATAGTGCTACGGCTACTCATACATCTCTATTCAAGTTACTAATATGAAATGAATCTTCCCCAGGCGACGCGAGCGCCGACATCCTGAACTCGGAGGTGAAGTCGCCGGTGTCGCTGGTGCACGAGCTGGCGCTCAAGCGGAACCTCTCCGTGCAGTTCACCGTCAAGTCCGAGCGCGGCCCGCCGCACATGCGGGTAAATAAAACAAACAATAATAAAAATCTATTATTTCAGGATAATTTGCTCACTTGGTTTCATTATGTTAACTATTGGACGTCCACTGCTGAATATAGGCCTCTCCCAATGATTTCCATAATCATCGTCATCATCGTCTTCCTGCTACCTTTGAGGTCGTCAGTCCATCTTGTGGGTGGACTTGCCATTTGAAAGAAAGAAAAACATTTATTTTGGCTCTTAAATAAAATGAAACAGATTGAAGTAAGTAGTTGCAACGAATAGAAACCGCTCTGCGTTATGTCATGCTCTGAGGTGGAACTCAGAATACAACAGTTATTCTGCGGAAGCCATTGTTGGAGAGAGCGGCAACAATGAATGCGATAAACATTGGCATTTTGCCATTTGGTTTACAATTTAGTTATATTTATGATTTTAAATCAAATAAATAAAAGTAAGAAAAATACTCGTTGCTGTTTGCAGGTGTTCGTAACGGCTTGCACAGTGGGCGACATCGAGACGGAAGGCGAGGGCAACGGCAAGAAGGTGTCCAAGCGGCGCGCCGCCGAGCGAATGTTGGACGAGATGCGGCGCCGCTGGCCGCCCGCGCTGCTGCGCCCGCGCCCGCCGCACGACAAGCGCCGCCACCAGCCCGCCAAGAAGAAACCCAGGAACCTCATCAAGGTACGAGATACACGCGTCTTTAGACGCACTGTAATATAGCGACATCGAGACTGAGGGCGAGGGCAACGGCAAGAAAGTGTCCAAGCGCCGCGTTGCCGCGCGAAATTTGGATGAGATGCTGCGCAGACACTAGCCCGCCAAGAAGAAACCCAGGAACCTCATCAAGGTACGAGGCACGAGCGTCATTTGTCATTGACGCTCTGTAAGGCTGATTTCAGAGTCAATCGTTTGACCGGCGCCGGTCACACGCGCGCGCTTACAATTACACTAGGTAGTATTTGCGTTTCATAGACACGCCCTTCAAACGCGCCTTTCGTGAGACGCGTGCTGTCCGGCCGGCGCCGGCGAAGAAAGAAACGCGCGATATCAAGACTCGTTTGACAGCGGTCCACCGGTCATGCGCGCGCTTTTGAGACGCACCGGCCGACGGCGCGTGCCGCCAGCGTTACTCTGAAACCAGCCTAACATAGCGACATTGAGACGGAGAGCGACGCCATCAGCCCTCCAAGAAAAAACCCAGGAACCCCATCGAGGTACGTGATAAGAGCGTCTTTTGTCCTTTGACGCACTGTAATATAGCCACATAGACTGAAGGCGAGGGTGACGGCAAGAAGGTGTCCAAGCGGCGCGCCGCCGAGCGAATGTTGGACGAGATGCGGCGCCGCTGGCCGCCCGCGCTGCTGCGCCCGCGCCCGCCGCACGACAAGCGCCGCCACCAGCCCGCCAAGAAGAAACCCAGGAACCTCATCAAGGTAGAGCAGGACTTAAAATAATGTACCTAGATAAAATTAGGTGATACAATTATTATTAAAATACTAAGTTTTTCATTTATTGAGACACAAGAATAGTTGTTAGTGTGACTTTTTTATTTATTATTTTTTTTATGAAAGTATCTTACTAGACGTTTAAATTCAAATAAAAAAATAATTATGTAGTTTTTATTAAACACCTGTAGCTTTTTGAATAGCTAATGAATCAAGGAACTAAATTCTGTAATTTGTACACAACATTCCATACATTTTTTCTTGGAAATTCTTCGTTTAATTACCTAAGACATATTTTTTTTGCAAAATGATACATGGTTTTTTAGCTTTTACTTGAGTAATGATGATTCTTTCTTGCAAATTTTAATTTAAAATGTCAATCTTATTATTTAGCTATACGAATACAACAAAAAAGTTAACATTATTCCGTATTCTTCATTACAAGGGTACATTTTAACATAAAAACTGGAGATTTTTTAAAAAATACTTAAATCTTGAATAACTTGGAAATGAACAAGTTTCGGACATGTTGTCATATGACTTAAATGACTGCAAATAAGCTCTACTTTAACCCCTATCAAGGAATGTATCGCTTTACCTGTCACCCTGTATAATATAACTAAAGAAAGCATTAAAGAAAACATGGTCGTCAACTATTGTCCTTTGTACTATGATTTTAGAACCCCACACTAGTCATTCAAACGTCGTTTGCGCGAGTACCAGCTTGTTGTTGGTTACAGTACATGCAACGGTTACAGCTCGGTAATGAGTACCCGGCTTTAGAACATTAAAAGTACAAAGAAAGAGAGAGTGTCGGTGCGCCGCGTCGACATTGCGCAGGCGTTGGTGAAACGACGACACTCGAAAGACGCTAGTGGGGGGTCCCTAAAGTCATGGTAGTGGTACCAAGAATACGATAGTTGACGCCCGTGTTTTCTTAAGCGCTTTCTTTATTTCTTTTCCTATGTAATTTATATTCTCAATAAACCTGGTAGCTTCATCATCATAACCAGTACAGACTTGTTGTGACCACAAGCAAAGGGATAATTTAGCCTACACACTGTTAGCTTAGCCTTCATCATCATCATCATCATTTCAGCCATAGGACGTCCACTGCTGAACATAGGCCTCCCCCAATGCTTTCCATGTTAGCTTAGCCTTAGTCTGACATTTATCCTAAATCTTTTTATGAGAGAACGAGTGTGTGCAAAAGATCTAAGAAACTAAAAGTAAAGACAAATATTTCTTGCATTTTCGATGTTCAACATTTTTAGCTACCCTGGTTTGCAGTCTCCTGGTGGAGTAATAAATAATAATAAATTAATTAATAAATCTTTGAACAATTTCACACAGCGCCAGCTAGCTCTAAAGTAAGCAACTCAATGCTTGTGTTATGGGTGCTAGCTTAACGGATATACTACTTATATACTTTTTTTTAATATCCCCATTGTCTCAACATTCCACCGTGTATCCACAGGAGGGGTCGATGTCCCCCGCGGGCGCTGTTACAACGGGGGGCGCGGCGGGCGAGGTGCGGCAGCCGGTTCCGGGCGTGCTGCTCATGGACTACCACCAGCGCTCCGGCCAGCCGCCGCAGCCCAACGGTCAGTAGCTTTTTTTTTCTTTTTAAGAGCGTTTACGCGAAGCGCGGCGTTTCAAGGGGCATCACTGGAAATGATTCGCGCGCGGCGTTTTTTAATAGTTTTCAAATGTTTATAGCAAAACAATAACAATGAATTATAATATATCGTTTCAAAGTAAATATTTTAAAGAAGATGTTATTTTATTATATTAAGCTATTTTTATGTTGAATTAAAGAAGAATAATGGTATAAAAATCTTTGAATTTGTGATTTCTTATTGTAAAATGCTTAAATCTAAGAATTTTCTCAACTAACTATTTGCTTAAGGACCTATGCTATAGGATATAAATGTTTGTTATATCGTTTTCACAGTATTTTTATAAAAATTTCAGCTTGTAAACTGACGCTAAAGTGGAAATTTGAAAACCTGTGTGAACTTATCTTGATAGAATTCTTAAATACTATACTAATCGAAATATTTTCTCAACTAACTATTTAGACGACGAAATTGCCTAATTATTGATGCCTATAACATATTTGTAATGTAACTGGTTAATGATTGTAACGGGTTGAAAAAGTATTGTTTTTACGCCAAACGGCGTAAACGCTCTTAAGCACAGAAAAGTATGTATCTGTACTGCTTACTGAAATTGTCACGGCCTTTTTTGGCGCCGTAGCCGGGCCAGTTCGTAACATACCTTCGTAAAAGATATTATCTAAAATAAATCGCTCTCATTAAAG